TCATGAAAATTAAGTGCTTCTTTATGAAACATGTAGGATTTAATCCTGTATTCGGTAGCTACGTAGGTCTTTTTATGGCACTGTGACTTCAGCTTCAAACTATTCCAATATCTCACTGGGTAGCCCATTGTACACAAATGTAGGTTTCTATTAAAAGCAAATCTTTCCTAAGTAGCTATTGCTGGATTTTTCCTTCCAGCCTAGGGATTAAAGGGATTCTGCCTCCACAACAAAAACCTCCAATGGATTAAATAAGAAAGTGATGACTCAAGAATGCTATGGCAAAACTTTGAGATGTTCAAACGCAGCACTGCTAATAAGAACATTTGTCAGGTCATTCACGTTTAGCATGAGCATATTGAAACTGTAGGTGTCCACAACACGTTTTCCTCTGGTTCAAGGAGAGGAGTTTAAGTATACAGCAAAGGTGAAAACTTCCAGTCTGAAAAAAGATTTTTAGGTTCAGATTCAGGTAGTTGATATTTTAGTTCCTTTCCCTCGCAATTACATTACAGCTTGCTATTTTTATTTGTGGCTGTTGGTTGGTTGGTTGGTTTGGTTTTTAGTATAATCATAGCTTGCTTCCCTTCTCACTTAATCTTCTCATTCCCTCCCTCTGCACACAAAACATGCCACATTTTACCACGTGGGAAATGTCTCCTGTAAATGCGGACATTTTTCAATAGCGCTCTAGTTAAGTACCACAGAGAGTAATAGTGGCCAATGCAAGTTAGGTGACTTTTAAAAAAAAGTCAAGTATTTCTTTTAGAAATTTGCAGAGACTGTTGCTAAAGAAAATTATGTATTTATTTAAAAAAAATGAACTGAAGTACAATTTTAGGAAATATTTGTTCATTACATTTACATACAAAGTTTAAAACTGGCTTATTTCAAAAGTGTTCCTTCACAAAGAGAAAATGTTAAGTTCACATGCACCTTACTGTTTTCTACATTCGCCACCATATTACACCTCATAACAATTCACAATAATAAAAAGGCTAACCTGTAAATTCTTTAGACATATTGACATTTAGTATGAACAGCTGCAATGTATAAGAAACCCTGATTAGTAATTTGATTTCACTGAGACAAATGTAGGCTCGTAAAATAATAAGGCACAGTTCTATGAACAGGGAACATGGTTTGTTCTTTCAGCAACACAGACTTCAACCAGGTAGCTAATTTATAAGGGTGTTATTTGGTGTAAAGTAAATGCACCCCGTTTAAATGCAGATAGAACAATGTTCTCCTATACAAGACTGTTCTGAGGAGCCAAGTGTTTTGCATGTTATGGTGGGAGTTGTAATTAGAAGCTATATTTAATAGGACATCAGGGGAGTTTTATACCAGACTAGATGGGGGTTCTTCTAAGGGAAGTATGATTATATATAATCATACTATATGTGTATACACATATACACACACACATATGTATACATAAGCTCAATCTCTCTGCCTCCTTATTAAAAAGAGCAGCATGATAAAATCATTGAAAAGAGCAGGGGTATACCTTGTATATCAGAACTCAGAGCCCAATTTTCATAATTGCAGAGCACCCAAAATTCCTACGGAAGTTTGAGAGCTGTAGGTGCACAGCAGCTCAGACAGGGCAGGTCGAGGAAATCAGATTCACAGATCGGTCTATTAAAAAAAAAAAGTTTTGGGTACACAGCCTCTGTCTTTAATCTTGTTACATAGTGCATTAAAGTACTGCAAATATTTCCATATTATTTTGGCTCTTCACTTCCACTACAGCATTAAAGACTTTGTCAGGCAGGGGATTGGCATCTCTCGTTTTCGACACAGAGCTTTGGGTGCAGAATCAGCCTTTTGCTTGTATGGCTGGGATTAGTAAGACACTGCTGAGATCATCATGTATGTGCTTCACAACCAAAATAGCCATTACTAATGAGGGGGGGATGGTTGTGGTTTGTAGTGGGTGTCTTTTTAAAGGACCCAGGGTTTATTCAGAGGTAGTTTTCAGAGGATCACTGTAATGAAGCACCAGTAGTATTAGTTTACCATTAAAAAGATACTAGATTTTTTTTTTTTTACCGCCGCCAAGTCCAAAGGGATCACAGTCAAAGTGAACTATACCAGATTTTGACTAACACACCCACAGTTCCACAAAAATTCTCTCAGAATGCAAACCCCTTTTAAAAATGCCTTCCAATTAGTTTAGATTCTTAAATTGTCACTAGATGAGATGTCTTTCTCAAACTAGGTAGGAAGAAAAAACAAAAATTCTAACAGTAACTGCAGCATGTGGAAAATGACAACTGTATGGAATGATCAGTATAAAAGTGAAAAACACTTTTTCAGTAATCAGTATTAGTAAGAGCAAACCTATGAAGGAACATAACATAACCTTGAGTACTAAATGCAGGTTGTGTTTAAATGTTTGCATCTGTAATGGAAGAGTAATACTCCACTGCCCACCTGACTTTTAAAATAGAACCATGTTTATCCTTGCATCTTGGATAGTCATATTATGTTTGCCGCAGTGTAAAAGTAAACAGTTGTATGTCACATGTGATGCTTGTGTCTTATTATTCAGTAATTTAAATTAAAAATATTGCTAAATTAAATTGCTACAATCCACACTTCTTAAAAGAGGATTAAAAACCACACAATAAACAGCCCGTGTTATTTACAATACAGAGTCTACATTATGTGTTGTAAAACATAATGAACATTATAAGGAAGTTTTAAAAATGAAGCTTGGACTAATCCATTAAAAATTCTTACAAATTTGATGTTATGGTTTTACTATAAACCTCAATAAATTACATTTGTTTTGTGTTAGAGTCACAGGTGAACATGATTTAAATTACAGTAGAACCTCACTAATGCCTGGGAGACCCACTGGGATCTTGCTGATTTGCAAAATAGAGAAAACAACAGAGGACAATGCATCAGTACCAACAAAAAGCTACTTTTTCCATTTTAAACACACTTAACATACTAGGTAATCTGTTTTTACTTCTCTGCTACGTCTATACAGACAAAGGCCTTTATCCAACAAGGTACCTAAGCATGTTCCTGATTTTAAACATGTGAGTAGTCCTAATTAAATGGGACTACTCATGTGCTGAAAGTTAGGCATGTGATTAGGTACCTTGCTTAACTGGGGTCAAGGTGAACAAATGTTTCTGGTAAAAGTAGTGGTATTTTTTCTGCCATTGTTATATTTCCTGCTTTATAACACGCATTTCAAATGACAGCACTGTATCTATACAAGAAGTGTAACATTAGAGGCCATCTAAACTGGTAGCTACGGTATTCTTGGTGAAGTGACACTAAAATAATCTTGTTTCATGCAGTACTTTAACAGATCAAAAACCTCTGGCATCAAGGACCGTGTTCATTGCTCTCTAGAGCAGACACTTGTTTTCTACTGTATGTATGGTGCCCTAATCCTTAAAGGAAGTTTATAGGTGCTATCATAATATAAATAGCAATAATGATAATTTGTCCTCATATACGTAATATTCTCTTTTTCATTTGTCTTGAATATTCTTCCATGGCTCCTGTGGTGTTTCTCCAAAGTTTTCATTCACATTGTGCAAATAATTACTCTTGCTTCTGAAGATGCTCCATATGTATTCAATTCAGCTAAAACCATAGGCATCTTATAGCACTTATTAAAGTGTGCTTGCTTGACTTTCCATTCAAATAAAAAATTACTGTAGCCAGCCATTTGAGGAAGATTGCTATAAAGTGCCACATGACCATATAAGGACCACATGTAGTGGCATTTGAGACATATTAACCAATGTATGGATAAATGCTAAGCTGCATTACTTTCAGTGAATGTGATTATTAAGCTTATTGAAGAAAAATTACAACAAAATTTAAAAGGCCATGTACTGCAGAACCCTTAATATAGCCAACTTCCTAGGGGAAAGTTTGGAATTTAGAGATCAGAATAAATATATATCTAATTTGTGCTCTGTCTTCTTGAATTTTTACAATGGTATGCACCAAACAGTTTGAGGGCATTTGCCACCACCATTGAGCCTGATCCAAAGCCCCTTTTTGCCTAATTTTGGTCCTGACCCTGCGATATGCTGACAGACTTGCAGGACTGGGCCTTTTATCATCAAACATTTTACAGATAAATACAACTAACTGCAACAGAGCAAAAAATGCATTTCCGTCTTCTCAGAAAGAGAGTCTGGGATTTAGCTGTTTGGTCAATATATCTTGCAAATCACACCAATAATTCCTTTGATTAGGTAACCAAGAGTTTCCCTGTTTTAACATAAACCTGCTCTAGAGAAACTTGTTAAATTTAAAATGCTCTGTTTGTAAAAGCTCTAAAATTGTATTTAAAACTCTGTTCAGTCACTTGGCAAGGGATCAGATGTTTGCGTAACTGAATCCTCCTGGACCATGGGGCTCTGAGGAGTAATAATCTTGACAAGTTGTGCTGCTGTCTCTATTGGTCATAACAACGTTTCACATTCTTGCCAGGGGGAGAGAGAGAGAGAGAGAGAGAATGAATCTATCTGAAGCACTCAAAACAGCATCTGAGGCATCTCATTCTTTCAGTCACCTGCTAGGACACTGCTAGAAACAAAGCAATTTTCCCCCCCATACAAACTTGCATTTCAATACTTAAATTTATTACTCTTTACCAAATCTGACAATTTGTGTTTAAAAAGATCTCAGGCCACTCTTTCAGCGACTAACCTCTGGTTACAGTCCTGACCCTTAAAAATTCTACTTATCTAGCAAAAAGGAGTGACTATTTTTAAAATGATTTCAATGTTATTCAATGGAATTCACCCTGCAGGACAGAAAAAAAGACTTTAAGAGCCTAGTACTGTAAACATTTCTAATGGCAAGGGTGCTTTATTTTGGCTGGGCATCTTCATTTTGGGAGGGATGGGGAAAGAATCAGTTAGCAAAAGTGTACATTAAATTTAAATCAAAACAATGTTTTCAATAGCCCTGAGCAAATTATACTTCATGTTACGGTCCAGTTCTGCTCCTGTGCACGCCTGCAACTCCCATTGACTTCAGTGGGGGTAGCGAGTGCATATCCCAGTACAGAAGTTGATCCTAGCAGGTCTACACACAACTGATGTGTCCCTAACTACTTGTATGCTCCTTTGAAAATCCCAGCCTAAGAAATTTAGGAATGCAGCAACTTGGATCCCTATATGCCAGGAGCCCTCCAAAATGTGTAAGGGGAAAGCATTCTGTAGGGAAACCAAATCATTCAAATATAAATTTGAAATTGGCAAGTAACATTCTCACTTTTTAGATTAAAACACTTGTGCTCTTGACAGTAAATCTGTAAAATTTCATCCAAATTTAAGACGTTCACTTGGGGCTTAATTGAAAGCAGAGCTCGTTCTATCCAACAGAATACAATTTTAAATGCTTTTTTCTTGCTGTCTTGTGACAAAGCATTTGCTAACTGAAACTGTCCTGATAAGAAATGGTTTGATTCTTTTTTAAATAGTGCTATTAAACACAACTGTAAAAGCATGTAATCTCACTGACCAGAACAGATGTGTTGACCTATCAAGTGATGTAATATGCACCACACTGCAACTGAAACAACTTGATAAAACAATTAGCCCTTGAAATGTTTATATTTTGATTCATCTTTTTTTGTACAAGATTTAGTGTTTAATGAAAAGTAAATCCATTAAAAACCTCTGCATTTCACCACCTTACACGTTTCTAGCAGATAATAAAAATACAAGGTATGTATTCTGGGAATACATAATTTTCTATTAACTGACCAGTTTTGGTAGTACAGTGCATAGAGGTATACTGCCATTTGATTCAGATGTTAAATTAGCCCTCAGTTTGTTTGCCACTCCAACTACTGGAGGCAACTTAGAACCTATTCCTGGGAAGGAGCTTGTGTAGTTAGATATCCGTTTACCCATGCTTTTATCAGTACTGGGTGGTTTGGGCATTCGCTTACAAATCCAAGGGTGTCTTAAAGCTTGACTTGGAGTCATGCGTGCAGAAGGATCCCAGTTAAGACATTCTTTTAAGAATTCTATAAACAAGGGGTCATCACAGCCTTTCAACGCTGTCACCCAGTCTTTGTTGCCTGGAGCACCACGCATTTTACCCCTGCGTGATCTACTGCCATTGAGGATCACTTTCCCATCTGTATGTGTAGTTGCAGTGCAGTAGCGAGGATGACCCTTGGAGTTGATGAAGTTCTTGGCTCGCTTGGATTGATCCAAAAGCTTCTGAGGTGGCATTCCAAGAAGCTCCATCATACAAGCCAGTTGGTCTCCCTCATCTTCTCCAGGAAAAAGAGGATATCCAGTCAACAGTTCCACCAGAATACAACCAAAACTCCACATGTCTATGGGCATCCCATAGCGACTTCCCAGAATGACCTCTGGGGCCCTATAGAATCGAGACTGAATATATGTGTAGACTCTTTGGTGCTCAAAGCAGCTGGACCCAAAATCAATAACCTTGATGCCACTCCGCCCTTGCTGTTTTAGAAGTATATTTTCTGGCTTCAGGTCACAATGTATGATTTTGTTTTTATAAAGAGCCTCCAAACATTGTAATATAGAGTGGGCAAACTTGCGTACCAGCTGCACACTGAACCCTTGAAATTTATTTCTTTTGATCAGCTCATACAGGTTCATGCTCAGGAGCTCAAAGGTCATACATATGTGGTTCCGAAAGGTGAAACTTTCTAGCATGTGAATAACATTCATGCTGCCAGTTTTATCCTGTTTCTTGAGATGCTCCAAAATCCGAATTTCCTCTGCTGCTTGACGGTGAAACCTCTTCTCATTGCGAACCATCTTTAAGGCCAAATGCTGGTGGAGTTTATGATCATAAACTTTAGCTACTTGTCCAAAACTGCCCTTTCCAATTATTTTAAGTACTTCATATCGGTAAGCCAGATGGTCATGAGGCACATGAATGTATCCACCTTGGTCATCATCATATCCTCCATTGTTGGGGCCACCGACTACTCCTTGCCTCTTTTTTGCATTTGGACCCACAAAGTAAATTTCAGAAAAGTTACATATTTCTTGCTGCTCGTAAGCAGATAACTGATGTTTATATTGCTTCACTGCTTGCTCTGGAGCCTGAGAGATAGCTTTGCGCACTTTTGATGAACTTCCACAAGATTTGGCTGTGCTTAAGCTGTCTATACTTTTATCTTTTGACAGGGAAGGAAGAGATCTTTCGGAACTACTGATTCCTGCAGACTGAAGAGTACTGCTCCTCTTATTGCCAGAGTCCTCAAATAGTTGCTCAACTTTGACCTGACTTCCAGTCAGAGGATGATCTTTCATAGTGAATTTGTTGCTAGTAACCTATAGGGATGAAAAAAGCCAATCAATTTTTTTTTTTAAATGGATAGAATAAGATTAAAATACCACATAAAACAAAATGCTTTGACTTCAGCATTAGGTTTGCATTTATTTTCACAATGCAGATGTATTTTAAATGTACTGCATAAATTATATTATCTATTCTAATCTGAGTTATATGCACTGCCATACACGTGATTGTACACCAAATGCAATGAACTTTTTGAAAATGGAGTATGTATAAATATACTCTATCTTCTAGTTCAGAAAAGGCAAACTTTAAGCAGACTTGCACAAATGCCTATCCCCACTAGCATGCATCTAGTCAGCAGAAGGGCAGGTGGTGCAGCCCAGTATCGCTATGTTTAGTCTTGGAGGTGGGTGCGGCAAACATGACCCAATGACAGATGCAGCTTGCACCTGTTTGAATATGCAACCTAGCATGAATGTGTGCAGAGGGGGGAGAATATTACATGGACAAGTGTGCAGTGGGGAGACAAGGGATCTAGAGTAAGAGGGATAGGGTTGAGAAATCCACGATGGATGGGGTAAAAGGACGGGAAAAAAGGAACAACAGCAAGCAAGAGGAAGATGACAAAACAAGATAAAATAGGCTGTGTTTATGCTCAAATATGTACCCACAACTCCCATGGACTTTAAAGAGGGTCACATTACTGTGTCGGACTGCAAAAATGGATACAGTGTGTATCCCCACGAGTACCAGCTTCCATCAAGTTTCTTTCCTTTTTCCTCCCCGTCTAGTGTTCTAAAACACAACAGTTCTCCACTCACTGCTCTAAGCTAATTTGGGCATAAATATTTTCATCTACCAAGAGATGTTAATTTGTTGCAGACAGAACATTACAACTAGTAGGAAAATATTGCGGAATATATTTAAGACTTGTCATTTTTACAGGATTAAAATTAGCCAATGCTGCGCTCCCTGAAATTCCGTCCCTTCCTTTAAAGGCAATGCACTCATTCACGATTATTCCTCCTTTCATTTCCCCAGCATTCTACACTACAAAATCGCATGAGATACTATCCTATGCAATGCTGAAAAAGTCAGGACTAGTGCAGCAACATCTGTTTTCCATTCTGGCCTTTAATCTCAATAAAGATGTGAGACATGTGCCAAGCCCAGTCCCTGAAACTAAAATAGCTGCTTAGCAATCAAGCAAAAGTATAAATAAACCTGTAGCTCCAGAGCAATAACATCCAATTACTTTTTAGTTACATACAATCCACCATCTCAACACAGTCAGTAAATAAGAGCAATGATTATGTTTGCCAAAAACAACTTCGCAAATATCCCCCGTCCTGGTTAAGAGTCAATTTGCTGGCTCTGCACTGAAATGTTAGTGTGCACTTCATGACAGGAGCCTGGAAAATGCAGGCTTCCTCTAGGAGCCTGTCTCAGATCAGTGATGATTAGGCCTTTGGAATCTCCCTTTTATTCAGTGTTCTGTCTGCCCAGAAATGTGGACAATACATTGTAAGAGACACACCTTTCCAGGAACTCACTGAAAACATACAATAAACACTTTATTCTTTCAGCTTGTGGCTGAACTGCTGAGATAAGAGTGAGAGATACTATAAGATTCTGAATGACAGGCATAGAGAATGAAGGGCAAAGAGATCAAAATGGTAAATTTGCAAATGAACAGAGAATCCAGACTTGGAACAAGGTTCAGTTTTTGTTTTGGGGTTTTGTTTTCTTTTTGTTAAGATGTCTGAAAAACTGTTCTCCTACCTCCATAGCAGAAATCTTGTGTGTGACCATGTCTTTTTTACTTTGACTGCAATCAGAATCTGATTAAGCACATAGCCCTAGTCCTTGAAAAGTCTACCTGTACTACAAGAAAGGATATTCTTTGTACTAGAACTCTGTGTTATTTAAATTAACTCACCATGGAGGCAGGAAGGATTGTAAAGGGCCAGGACTGTATGTGCTATAGTGAACTTCACTAAATTTCATCTTCCATCAAGCAATGCCTATTTATCTAGCTTTATGAGGTTCCTGCAAAGTTCCTCAGTCTTCTTTAGACTTTACAAATAACTGTGTGTCATTTGAAAGTTTTGCTGCCTCTCCCTTTTCTACATCATTAATCCTAAATAAATGGTCCTAGAGAAATGATTACGCAAGAGAATTAGAACTTCAGGTGAGGAATAAGCAGCAGGAACAGATGAATTACCCATAATAGTAAGGGAAGAAAAGCCATTGAATGAGCACTTCTGACCATATCCTTTTAACAGAAGGCTTTCAGAGCTTTCACTTAAGATAGCAGCAGCTATTTAATGGTCCATTGCAGAATACTTATGTCAGGTGTTTGAAACACTTTATTGGAAAGGTCTTTAAGCCCGCTGAACTTGACTTGATTTTTAAAGGTGAAGTCAATTTGAGTACATGATATTATATATTTTACATACACACAAAACTGCTTAGAAAAAGTTCAGTATTTTGTTTCCAGCATGACCTTCATCTGACACGCCTCCCACCAGGATGTAAAAGGAGGTTGGGCTGAAAAGCAAAACACTGAACTTTCTCTAAATTCAAAAAACATTTGTAAAAAGCAGCAAGATTGGTAGTTAACTCTTTAGTGGCATGTTGGGAACAGCTCAAAAATCAAAGCATTTCACAGAGCCTGACCCACTGTTGCTCCCATCCCTGCATTACTCGGGATTCCTTCCTGCGCTTGCCTGCATGCAGCTGCAGTTCCACTCACAAACTACTTGGCCAGTTGCTATGCATTTTTTGTTCTCTTTCGTCCCCTGCCCCCTTCCCAAAATTCATACCTGGAAAACAATTCAGGAATGAAGGTGTTAAGGCAGAGTTTCACCATTTAAAAAAGGCTAATGCACCCGTTAACTTACATTTAAATCTCACATCGATACACTGTCCTGCAGATATCTTATGTTCCTATCCTAGACAAGCTCATCAAGATGCCCTAGAAGATAAATAATCAACTTTGCTTTGTTGTCCTGTAACCTAGATCTGTTCACGAGACATCCTAGAATACAAATAGGGCCTTAGAGCACCACACACACTTCTGTTACAGTGCTGTACAATTAGGAACTAGTGCAACACTTTAAGAGCTAGAATTATCATACTAAATATGGTATAACCATTCTCCAAATGATGATGTACCTCAAAGGGCACTAGCAAATAGTTTTGTCATAACATTTAGGATTCACAAAGAAAAAAGAGGGGGATAAAAAGGAATACAAAATCTAAAGAGAAATGCTTTTATGAATTCTTTGACTATGGTGATCCCTTGTAGGGCTAGAAACCCAAACTGCTGCATTGTGCCAGTACTTGAGAACCAGCAGGTGAAACTGACTAATTCAGTTTCATTGAAGCCAGCACTTGAATCATGTGCTAAAAAAAACAAAACTCTCCTCCCTCCGCCCCAAAAATAAACAGTAAAAATGGTGAAAAGCAAGATTTATTGATTTACTTGTTTATACTTTTTAGTTTTAAGATGCTACAATGATACTAATAAGGGTAAAGGATTTTTTTTAAAATAGTGAATATTATCCCCTTAATATAGACAAAGGTAGTTAAAAATATACAGTATATACTTGTTCATTAGCCCGTTCGTTTATAAGCCGACCCCCCAAGATGGTTAGGTAAAAAGAGCAAAAACTGTATGACCCTTTCATAAGCTGACCCTATATTTCAGGGGTTGGCAAACTCTGGTTCCTGGCCCATTAGGGTAAGCCGCTAGCAGGCCTGGACATTTTGTTTACCTGGAGCATTCACAGGCATGGAGCCCCAGTTTGCTGTTCCCAGCCAATGGGAGCTGCGGGAAGTGGTGCGCCACTTCCAGCAGCTCCCATTGGCTGGGAACGGCAAACCGTGGACACTGCGAGCTGAGGGGCTCCATGCCTGCAGACGCTCCAGGTAAACAAAACAACAATGTATTAGATATTCAATTCAATGATTCCATAGAGTTTAAAATCATCAAATTTTGGTGTAGACCCGTTTATAAGCCGACCCCGGCTCTTTGATGCGTCACCTTTTTATCAAAAATATTCGGCTTATGAACAAGTAGATACGGTATATTGTTTTAATCACCACAAGTGGCAAGGTCTCATCCACAATGTTGTTCGTCCTCATTTACTGGCTGTCTGAGTTATCCTGAAGTCTTCTGACACTTCAGACTACCAATACTGCTGAGGAAATCAGATCTGCTGCATTTATAAGCCCTGCACAACTCACAAAACCCATCTGAGCTTAAAGTTGTGCTGCTATTTTACTACATGCTACTAGCTTCAACTTAGTGTATTAAAAAACAGTAGTATCTGATCAAAAGTTATAACTGCAGAATAATGGCTGTTAAAGGCCTGTCAGATATCTGTGCTGATTCAGTGCATCTCCATGGCAGCCTCAATTTGCAGGGTTCCTCTGGAAAGAGGTACAAAGGGAGCAATTGTACCCCTCTGTACCCAGGTGGGTGAATAAAGCTCTAAGACTTCAAAAAGATAAAAGAGATGTATTTAAGTCAACAAAGCCAGATAAAATTCACCATAGAGTACTTAAGGAATTAGCTGAAACAATCTCTAAACCATTAACGATTATATTCAAGAACTCATGGAGGACAGGTGAGGTCCTAGTGGGCCGGAGAAGGGCAAACATAGCACCTATCTTCACAAAGGGGAATTATACACCAGTCAGCCTAACTTCGATACTCAGAAAGATACTGGAACAAATGATTAAACAAGCAATTTGTTCAAACCTGGAGAATAAGGTGATAAGTAATAGCCAATATGGATTTGTCAGGAACAAAATATGCCAAGCCAAACTAATTTCCTTCTCTGACAGGATAATGGGCATAGTGGATGCATGAGAAGCAGTAGATATATCTTGTCTTTAATAGGGCTTTTGACACAGTCCCATACAACATTCTCACAAGCAAATGGGGAAAATATGGTAGATGAAATTACTATAAGGTGGATGAAGACCACCAAGCTGGGAAGGGTTGCAAGCAGTTTGGAGGATGGGATTAGAATTCAAAATGACCTTGGCAAATTGGAGAATTGGTCTGAAATCAACCTTCTTCCAATGGCTTCATTTTATAAGCCAGGGACTGCACAGTTTACTTTTGCCATAAATTAGCTGTCAGCAGCCAAGAAACTTGATAAACAACACAAATGATACTCCACTGAAGATTTCTCAGAAAAACTTCATTATGAATAAGAAGGAAATGGCTAGCCAGTTTGCTAAATGTTTTGCCCTTCCAAGTGTCTCAACTGTTACTTTTACAAACTAAATTAAAACTGTGTGTCTCTGAAAGCAGAAGCATTTAGTTTACTGTATATAACTAAGTCTGAGAGGAGAGACAGTTGAGAGTACCTGGAGTTTTCAATACGAATGCAATTTTATATGTCAAAACAGAAAATGTTGAAGAAAGGAAGACAAGTATCTCTTCAATCTAAATGTTTTCTCATAACTGCTTAAAATTTTCATTTCCACATGCATTCCTAATTCCTGCTGAGCAGGACACTACTAAGTATTTGTTTTGTTTGGCACAAAGACAAGGCTTGGCATTTTACAAACAAATAAGAAAACAAAGTCCTTGTCCCAAAGAACTGACAGTCTAAACAGACAAAATACAGATGAAGGAGAAAAGAAGAGATGTGACACACAAGCAAAGTGATCAAGGGGCTATTTTTGGCATGTGTCTTGTTAGTTCCAGAGTTGATTTTAATACAGTTGTGAAAATGTCTGGATATGTTGTAAGTTAGATATAGCACTTTATATCTCAGGAAAACTGCACAACCATTAATTATTTAAACGATTATTTAAAAACAGCACCACAGCTCTTTTGTATCAATATGCTCACACATATCTCTCTCTCACATATAGGCACCTCAGTGTTTGAGGACGAAGGCCAGTCAAATTAACTGCTGGCATAAATGATCTCAACTCTATTGACTTCTCAATATGTTCATTTTTAAATTTGTCCCTTCATCTATCCCATTTCTTCAATCTGGCTTTTAGCCAAAAATTTTCAAGGAGCACAAGATTTCAGACAAAATTCAACTGGAGCCTAAATATATTTCCAGACCATTTTACAGTATGACTGTTACATGGCTGAATATGACTGCTACAGTCCAGCTGAGACAATTAAAGAAAGGATCACATGATTCAAAACTTCTGTTTAAGAAATGTACAACTTCTACAAAAATACAAATTGAACATCAGAAGTCTGTGAAGTGCTATTTTGCTATCAATTAAAGTGCCAGATAATGCCAGTGCTCCCATGCAAAAAAAAAATTTTTTTATATTACATTGGGTGTATCTACAAATCACACATTTGTAAAAACAGAACTTCTGGTTGTGTTCTACTATTATGCCCCTGTTATTTCCAGTACTTTCATGTGAGACAATAAATATAAGTGTGCACTAGTTAAAGTAGAATACAGCTATGGATTAATAAAGTACCATATATATTAGTATGTGATGTGCTATGGCATGAGGTCCCAAACAGGTTGTAAACTAACTTTCTTGATCAAAGCATGGACAATGGATTATAAATTAGCTTATTCAGAGTTACTTAGCCAGTTCATGCAGAACACCATATTATGTTACCTTTTTTATTGCTAGTTAGTAAAAGCAAGTGTGTTAATGAGCTGTGACAAGGTTATAATATCTAGCTTTATTAATTTACTGTGTGACTACTTAGTTTATATCATTATTTCATTACCAACCAGATCACCAATGCAAGAAGCCAGAAAATTACTCACATTTGATCTCCCAAGTGAAGGAAGTCCAGAAGGGCTGTGTTCTTCATTTGTAGGATCTGGGTACCTAATTTGATCTATTCTCATGTAGGAATCATACAATCCATCTCCAAACCTGGCTGAACACGTCAAATATAGAAGCCAGTTAGTCACAACCGTGTGCACTAATACAGGAAAAGACATTTGTCTCAGCTCCTAAAAATTATCTCATTTGTAATCATTCTTCAAAGTTTTTGCTAAGACAGTCAGCTTTTGCTAATTTATTGGATAAAATACAGCAAGAGCATCATAGCTAAATATTAATGAGCTACTCAACAGTTTTATTTCTTTTAATGATCCTAAGCATTTAGAAAACACTGTGCAAACCTTAGTTTCTGATTCTTTTTTTTTTAAAAAAACTAGGAGCTTCTCTTAAATTAGACTCATCTGTCATTTTTTTGCAGTGCAAAAGCATCCTTAAGAACCTTTAACCAATATCCTATTTTAAGGAAAAAGAAGGATAATCCTGAACTATCTGTATTTAGCGTGGCAATGGAAAATGAGCAGGCATTTAAATACTGGATAAGACTATCCTTTAAAGTAGATTCTCTGTAAATATGACGTGGAGGAATCAAAGTCAATAAATTCGTTGCTACTAACAATGGTTGGCAAAATAATTTTTTTTTAATGATTTCTACAGTAATAGACAAAGTTCTGTGACTGTGCTTAAAATAAAATTGGCTAAAGCAATTAACATTAAAACTCCAGAGTTTTGATCACCATCTGCACTCAAAATGTCAGTGTGAGTTAGACAAAAAGTACTATTTATATCGAAATAATATGACATCCTCTCTCATTGCTATAAATACTGTCCTTCGTATACCAAAACAATGCTCTAAAAAGTTTAACTAATTGGTTTTTCATTTTAGTTCTGCTGACAAAATGCAAAACTCAGTCACTTCTTCCAAACAAGCAATCACAACCAGGAAGTTGGAAATTATATTTAAAAATTCCCAGTTACAAGTTCAAGGCAAAATGTGATCAACTAATTTCATCTGCCACCAGAAAACATGCTTATTCACTGCTGTGTATGAAGAATGAACTACATTTTTTTCACAACAATGTATCACTAGCTTCTTCGTAAACCTGTGTGTTATTAGGAATGTTTTGTACAATATACTGATATACGTGAAGGGTGCTCAATAGTAAATTAATAGTACATTGTATAAGTCACAGAACTGAATGCTAGAACACATATATTTACAGAATTATATAATGCAGATACTGTACAAAATAGAAGAGTAGGAAAATTGTGTTCCTTTTCTTAATCTCTGGAAACTCTCTAGCTTCCTTTAAACTTGGATTCTGAAAAATTACTCTACTCTGTGGTTACTTTAAAGGATAACAAACACTTCAAGCATTAATTGAAAACACAGTCAAAGATATAAAATAAGTTGCCAAAGGAAAAATGCCAGGAATGTTCCTTTCCTTGTGCAGAGTCTGCCCAAGTCCTGATGAAATCTGGCCTGTTTTGAGTCATTTAATCCACATTTGTTTCCCCGTAAAAACACCAGGGATACTTTAGATGGATGCTATACAGATAAAATGTGTTGTTTTAACAACCAATTGCTGTTTTTGCTGTATTCATCCTCCCCTTTTGGTTTAGCAGAGTGAAATGTACAAAGACACAACAGCTACTAAGTTACCAAAAAAAAAAAAAAAAAAAAAAAAAGTAGGCACTGAAAGAAACTCAGCATCATTTGAAATCACCACAGAAGGAAGTTTTCTATTGTTGGCACATTTCACGCCTTGTCCAGAACTGGATTGTTCGTTACAATCTGTTCTCCAGTGCTTTGTCCAGTCCAGTTTCAAAAGTCTCATGTGATGATTAGGCTTCCACTGGTTTCCTGGGACGACGAGTAACTCGCACCCTTAGGAGATGTTTCCCAAGACAGGCTACGTTTCCTGTCATTTGATTTCACTCCCCACCACACTTTAGGTTCCCCCTAGTTATCCCCCCACAGGCGCCTAAGGGATCTCACCCCAGTACTCCCCTGCCCTTGATTATACTCCCAGCTGCCCCCCCCCCCCATTGAACCAACCACTTTTCCTCCTTATTTTTATCCCTCTAATCACTCATCCCCCACCCCGGGGGGTTTCCATCTGTCTGAGCGGATGGGAAGCCCGCCTCCCGCTGCATTCCGGACCCTCCCAGCTGCCCCCACCCCCGGGATCAAACCCCCTCGCCCCGTGGTGTTGTGATCCCTCTACTCACTCCCCCCAGCTCCAGGGGTTCCCCGCCCCATGCTGCCAACGGCCCCCGGGTCCCCCCGGCAGGCAGCCCCCCGCCCAAGTGCATCACCCCCCCGAGGGGTGCACCGCTGGGGGGGGACCCAGGCCGACCCCCCCCCGCCCAAGTGCATCACTCCCCGAGGGGTGCACCGCTGGGAGGGTGGGGGGGACCCAGGCCGACCCCCCGCCCAAGTGCATCGGCCACCGGCTCCCCCGGGCACATGGAGGCGGGGGACCGTGTCTCCTGCCCAGGCCCCGACACGTGGGACCGAGCCGGGGCTGCGCTGGGGCGGCCCCGAGACCCCGGCCGGGATGCGGGGCCCCGCGTTACCTGCGGTGAGGAGCCCCTCCGGCTTCCTGCTCAGCAGCATCACGGCGGGGGGGCAGCGGGCCCCATCCCCCTCCAGGCCCCACACACCGCTCCCCCGGGCTGGGGCGGCTCCTTCGCTCGGGCCCAGGCCGCGGCAGCGGCGGGACCCCGGGCGGTTGCTAGGGAAACGTCCTCCCCGCCCGGCCCGGCAGCGGCCGCGTCTGCGCGCTGAGGGACAGGAGGGGGAGGGGGAGGGGAAAGGGGCGGGCGGGGGGGGAGGAGAGAGGGGGAAAGAGAAGAGAAAATAACCCAGGCTGAACTGGGAGGCGGAGGAAGGAGAATGGGGCTGGGGCTGGGGCTGGCTGGGCCTGGGAACCCTGGAAGCGCCCTGCCTGGCCTTGCCCTGTGCGGTCCCTTCTCTGAGACCCCCCTGGGGAGCAGCGTTTCTGCTTCCCCGCGCAGAGCCCCCAGTCTAGCACACGGCGGGATCTAGGTGTGCCCCAAACTGGGGGGATGTGTGCCCCCCCCACTCCGGTGTGCAGGACCCAGAGCTGCTGCCCTGGACTCACTCAGTGCAAACAAACGTTAACCACCCCCCCCCCCACACACACACACACACACCCAATTAAAAGCTACTGGGGATTAGAAATGGAAAGTTTTCCATTCCATTGACATAACTGCAACTAAGCAAACACGTTTCTTGCTGGGAGAGGCCCGCCCCTGGAGTGTAATGGGGTTTGGCTTTTCTTTTTCCCCTTTCCATTCTTCCTTTACGTATAGCCCCTTTTAACTGCAAAGCCCTGTTCATTTCCTCCTGTGATGTCTACTGTAGGTTGATATCCTGAGATAACAGGGAGAGTGGAAGAGCGGTTAGGGTGCTAAATAGAAACCTGGTTCATTTTTTAGCTCCACCACAGACTCCCTGTGTGACCTTGGATAAGTCTACACTAGAAGTGCTTTTCCGGAATAGCTATACCAGTATATTATACTGTCAAAGTGCTCCTAGTGTGGACACAGATCGTACAGGCAAAACTGCACTTTTGCCAGTGGAGTTTATTCTGGCAACCACTCCTCACCAATGAAATAAACTATACCAGCAAAAGCACAGTTTTGCCAGGGTTTTTTGCCAACACAGCTATTTTGGTCAAGGATCACACTTCCACGCACCCTGACCAACAGAAGTTTGTAGTGTGGACTCGGCCTTAGCCTCTCTGCGACTGTCTTCACTAGCCAAAAAGGCATGTTGTTACTATGGGATAATTAACACAGGTTAGCTACTCCAAGGGAAAAATAGAGCAGAGACAAGGCACTGTGGTTTTACCGTGAGGTGAACTAAGATAAGTCAGCACTATACTGCTGGCTAGGGCTACCTTGTGACAAAAACTACTAGAACCTTGTCTCCATTTAGGATTTTACAGTGAGATAACTAGTATGTATTAGGGATCTTGTACAAAACAAACAAACAAAACTCTTGTGTCAGTGATGACGTCTGACTCCCATCAGTAAAATGAGTCTAATAGCTAGCACTTCCCTACCACACCGGAGTGTTATAAGGATAAATGCATTCAAGATTGCAAAGCACTCAGCTACTACAATAATGGTGGTCAGATAAGTACCTTAGAGAGAGAGAGAGAAACTTTTTAGGGTAGGGAATATGTCTACTCTATGTAAAGTGTTACAGTCCTCTAATGCGTGTTTGAACAAAGGAGACGTTAATGAGCGTCCTGTGTCCCTAACTCTTGGTTTGCTGATGAGGGGAGATATGAATAGTGTTGCAAAGGAAAACCTCGAGGAGTCCTTGTGGCACCTTAGAGACCAACACATTTATTTGGGCATAAGCTTTCGTGGAAGTGGGTTTTAGCCCACAAAAGCTTATACCCAAATAAATGTGTTAGTCTCTAAGGTGTCACAAGGACTCCTCCTTGTTTTTGCTAATACAGACTAACACAGCTAACACTCTGAAAGGAAAACCTGAGAGCCATCTGGCGTTGGCAGCAGGCATCACAACCCTGCCCATATCCCCAGAGGCACGTCATGCATGTGAGAGAAATTGGAGACTCTATTCACACTGAACTGTGATTTATTTTTATAAATCATTATTCAAAACCTTTTAACGTGTACGAGGGCTTCCGTTCTTTTTCCACTGACTGTTCCTGTGTGTGAAGCCATGTGGAATCCTCTATTCACTAACAAAACACGAAAAACGAAAGCTTATGCCCAAATAAGTCTGATCACCACAATAAAGAGTACGTCAGGGAGATCTCAGTGCCTTCCCTTCCCTAAAGTGGGTTGAGTTCAGCAGTTAGGATGAAAAAGGGCAGTGTTGGGCTAAGTCAGAGGAAATTTTACATCTTTAAAACCCTCTGATTCCTGCTCTCAAAAGTGCCTCAGGAAAATGGCGTTGCTATACCACTGTGAGGTCTGCCAGTGCCCTACCAGCATCTTCTATCAATGGTGCCACAGAGAACACAATGAAGGTACACAGAAGTGTATAATAGGAATGCTGACATGGAGCATTGTGGGCACTATGAAACTATCAGTTTTTGTTAGGATGGATAAGGTATTGTTATATTCCCTGTGACTAAGGCCATCTCTCCAGTAGCAGAGTTAAGGTTGTGTGGCGTGTACGGTCTAGAAGAGGAGGTTACCTTAACTGTGCATTTCCTTGTTCTCTAGGTGGGTCTGTGAGGAGTGCATCTGCTAGAAGGAGGCAGAAAGGGGGAAGGGACCCCAGAGTCCCTACCCCACCTCAGTGTAGGGTGAAGGGGCTCTGCGTGCTCCTCTGTAGCATAGGAGACTTGCAGAGGTGTGGAATCAGAAAATCCCATGAAGATTAAAATAGCTTGAAAGAATAGCTCCGAGGGGTGTGAACCATCCCATTCATTGCCGTGGGTGTTCTTATCCCGCATCTCAACTATGGCATGCACTGAACCTGCTTATTCTCAGTTCCCCTGGTCTCAGCATGGTGTGACTGTGGCATGTTTGGCGCATGGTCCAAGAGAGGCCCCAGGTTCAGTGCTGTGTTCCCGTACTGTGCAACAACTTTGCCTGTTTTCAGTTCACCCAACACTTAAGCCCGCTAGTTTCTGTGATGTCCCTTCAATGGGACATCTCACAATGAGTAAAGTGAAGCAGGTGGATAAGTGTTTGCATGATCAGGTCTGTATACTGTCACAATTTTGGAATCCTCTGCAAGTTTATTATGTCTGAACAATATACAGAAGTCTGAATTGAAAACACAGATTTTTTTTTTAAAGTTGCAAATGTTTCTCCTAAAATACAGTAAAGGATCTGAAAAATAGTCAGCCTGCACAAAATATAGTATCACCCAAACACAAAAGCACCCATTTCAAAGTGGGAATTATTTGAAGAAAACCAGAAAATTGCTCACACATTTCTTTCCTACATGCATCAGACATTCCCCATTATTCCTTGCATAGAGCAAAATGTGTGACTAATTTTCTGGTTTCCTTCAAATAGTTTCTGTCTTGAAATTGCTGCATCTTCTTGCTTGGTATGCCTGGGGCTCTGCTTTTCTTGTTTTCTAGCCAGATATCAGAAGAGAGACGTAATTTAGGCCTTGGTCCTGCAATTGGATCCATTCAGACAGGCCAGCGCAGCATCTTATTGATGTAAATCCTCATTGACACAGGTCCACTTGCATGCATCCTATTGCAGGATTGAGGCCTTCTTAGCGCTTCTTACAGTAGCTGAATTGACTGCTCTGAAGTCCTCTGTTTATCAGAGTAAGGGGACAGCCATGACAGCAGCAGGCTATGCTTCCCACATGCTCATGCTGTGCTCGCTCTGCCTGTTCTGTTTTATTAGAAATGTTTATACAGATTTAAATGAAAATATTTTTGGTTTGATTTAAACATCCCCCTGCAGTGTTTGCAAGACAATCACTGCAGCTCCTGACTTGAGAACCTGTGAGTAATATTCACTATAAAGAGGGGGGGGGGGAATAACACTCTTTAACAAGGACATGCATACACACATACATGAAATATTATTGTATACAGGATGGGACATGTAGCATTGCAGGGGAAGGTGTTTGAAGACCTCTGGCTGGAGGTCAGGCAATTAATCAAAAGCGAGAGACAGAAAGCTATGTGACCGCACTCCTTGCAAGGGGCAAGTACAAAAAAATCTCTATCCACTATCCACTCTAAGTAAAATGCAAACTGGGTGAGAATTATTAAGTGGTTTTGTAAGGTTTATTTTTAACAAAGGTTAGGAAGATTTTGTTCAAAGACCTACACTTTGTAAAGTGAGACTCTAAAATGAGGGACTGTCCCTCCAAAGGAGTGAGATTTTGGCAGGGCGGCCTAGAGCTCGAAGGGCTGAATTAAGGCAATCAGGGCCCCAAAGCACAAGCCACCCCTCCTGAGGGTGTGTTCCAGGATCGGGCAGTTGATACCTCGCCAAGCTTGTATCGTTACCAGCTGTCTCCAGACTCAGACACGTGTTCACATTTCGCAGCTCCTCCCCCTAGCCCCTTCCACGGGGGCTGGGACCGCTGGGAAGCTGATTTCTTCCTGCCACTCCAGCAACAGCAGCCGCCTGGTTCTGTGATGCATCTTCCAAATGTTTTGGTGTCTGCAAACTTAACTGGGCTGCAATTATCTTTGCACTCATGAGTAATGTACTGACGGCAGCGGTCCCATGGACTCCAGTAGCACTACTTCTATAGGCAAAGTTACTCACGCGGGTGTACGCGTTGGCAGGATCAGCCTCCCTCGCCCAGCAGGCATTAGACAGCTTGGCCATTGCCGAGGAAGCAGAAGAAAGCAGCTACGTGTTGCCACACGGGCTCTTTTTGCGGCAGGACTGCAACATGGCTGCTCCCATGCAATGAAGCAGGAGCGCTGCAATCCTGGGGCTTAACTCCATGCTTTCGCCTTTCTAGCATCCTACTTGCACGGCTGGCCCAGCGCCTCTCGGCCTGCCAGGGTTTGGGGGGCAGAGCCGAAGGAGGGGCGTGAAGCCTCCCCTTTGGAGTGGATCATGTTTTCCAAGTCCTTCAGGGTGAAATCCAACACTGCCATCAAAGGGTCTGATAGGTGAGTGAGCTATGTTAATT